TTCTGTGACTTCCTCTTTGAGCACGAAATGTAACATTACTAGAGCATACTCTTAATCGGATTTCATGGGTATCCGAGGCCTAGCTAACGCTGTAATCCTTGTTTCATAAGTTTATTGTACTTTCTCTGTCTGTTGAATCTAGAAGCTTCTGGAAGTTCTCATGCTTGCGATTTATTAGATCGAATCATCATACATTTGCCAGGAACTCGAATGTTGGCGGTTTGAGACTTATTCAATCTTTTCTTGTCAAATTTTCGAATATAGTACTTTGTGACGGCAGTGCGCTAGTTCAAACCGATCAGAAAGTTGGGGGAGATTCTTAGTTTTCCGACTTTTTTCTTGAATTACGTCTTTTTTCACCAACCATGGCATTTTCAAATGTGCCTATAAGTGACTGAAAGGTTAGACTAGAAATTAACTTTATCACTGCATGTTTTCTAGAATTTGCTTGATCATCTCTCAAGTCAAGCTCGGTGATTTTGATCTTCGCATTAAAAATGGGCTTGAGATCTTCTTCTTATTTGTCCCAACAGCTCCTCCTTGTGTTTCTGCCATTCTCGTGCTCCTAATAGCATCGGCTATTAGATTCGATGAAATACGTTGATGTTATGAGTTTCTTACTGTTTCTTCAGATATGACAGAATCGACAGAGGATTTGAAAGCCGACGGTAATCGCTTCTTTCAACAGGGACGATATCAAGAAGCTATCGATGCATACAGTAAAGCCATTATTCGGAATCCGCACGTCTCCACTTATTTCACCAATCGAGCGCTTTGCCATATGAATGTAGGTTCCTTTTTATACGTATTCTTATCTTGTCTAAGCGGTGATTTATTGTTGCAGTTAAAAGCCTGGGCTAAAGCTGCGGAGGATTGCTCAAAGGCTGCTTTTTTGGACAGAAACAATGTCAAAGTAGGTTTATCCTTGTTTGTCTCGCGAACTGCGCGTTTCACCCCTTTTTGTGCTGCTGATTTTGGAAAACTATTTTTCGTGAACGTTGCTTATTTTATTTGGAAGCTCTCTCATTTTAGTTTTTTTTTTTGCTTTCGTTTTCCATTCCTCAATAAAAGGACGAATTTGGTCATATCATTTGATGTTCTAGTGCGCATATCATTTCAATATTCTTTTCATATTAGGCATACTATTTCGGCGGACGAGCAGCTATCCAATTAGGAAATTACAACGAGGCTATACGACTGATCACGAAAGCAAAGGAGCTGGCTAGCACACAGAAGGTTAATATCTTACTCTTACCTCAGATTTCTAATGCCTTAGATTTCTCTTTGATTAGATGAATTTTGGAGATGAAATTCATGCACAAATGCGGCTAGCGCGACGAGAAAAGTTTCGGATGGAAGAGGAAAAGCGGATCAAGGAGGAAGGTGAACTGCAGGCTTACTTGCGAAGGTATACTTTTATTTTCGCATCATGTTGGTTGTTTATCTTTTGAAGCAACGCCACACAATCTTTTTCGCTTTCTGTTGTTGTTGAGATTCTTGAAGTTTTCTGAACTT